CGCCGCCGCAGTAAGGGAAATGCAGCCCCTTCCTCCGCTCGGATCAGCTCTCGCTCATTGCGACCCTCCTCCTGCCTCTCTGTGTCTCTCACACAAACGCACACAGCCCGAGCTTCTCTCTGGGTTTTGCAGTGCGAAGATGGGGGGTGGGGGCGAGGCGGCGGCCGGGGACAGACGAACCGAGCGGAAACTCGCACTTCCCACACTTTGCCCCCGGGGACGCTGGAAGATCAGATGGAAGTGGAGATGTGGGGCGGGGGTGGAGGGGGGAAAGAGAGAGAGAGAAGGAGGGAAGGCGAAGGGACAGCCGGTGCGGATTGGAAGGAGAGCGCCGGACCAGGGCGGCGCAGGAGGTGGACTGGTCGGGAGAGGAGGGGTTGCTCCGAAGGGAGGAGAGGTCGGGGCTTCCTTGGCACGGCTCAGTTGCAGGCCGCGCCGTGGGGCTGCGAAGTGGGGAGGTCGCGCGAGGAACTGCTTGGCCGTCTGGGCAGAGGAGGACGGTGGGGTGAACGAAGCCAGGAAAGGGGGACACAGAGACGGACCCACGCGGGCGGCGGCGAAGGGCCTCGGGCTGGTTTCACTTGGGGTGGTTGGCTAGGAGGGAAGGAAGTCCGCCAACGCCTTCCCGCGCTTTTCCCGCGCCTTGGTGAAACTGCTGGAGGGCGAAAGCCTGTGGCGCTGCGGACGACGCTGCAACCGGCTTCGAGCGCCGGCGGGTGGGTGGGTGCAGGTTGGTACCGCGAACGCGGTGCTCCTCCGTGCCCCTCCTGCAGCCCTCGCCGCCGCAGTAAGGGAAATGCAGCCCCTTCCTCCGCTCGGATCAGCTCTCGCTCATTGCGACCCTCCTCCTGCCTCTCTGTGTCTCTCACACAAACGCACACAGCCCGAGCTTCTCTCTGGGTTTTGCAGTGCGAAGATGGGGGGTGGGGGCGAGGCGGCGGCCGGGGACAGACGAACCGAGCGGAAACTCGCACTTCCCACACTTTGCCCCCGGGGACGCTGGAAGATCAGATGGAAGTGGAGATGTGGGGCGGGGGTGGAGGGGGGAAAGAGAGAGAGAGAAGGAGGGAAGGCGAAGGGACAGCCGGTGCGGATTGGAAGGAGAGCGCCGGACCAGGGCGGCGCAGGAGGTGGACTGGTCGGGAGAGGAGGGGTTGCTCCGAAGGGAGGAGAGGTCGGGGCTTCCTTGGCACGGCTCAGTTGCAGGCCGCGCCGTGGGGCTGCGAAGTGGGGAGGTCGCGCGAGGAACTGCTTGGCCGTCTGGGCAGAGGAGGACGGTGGGGTGAACGAAGCCAGGAAAGGGGGACACAGAGACGGACCCACGCGGGCGGCGGCGAAGGGCCTCGGGCTGGTTTCACTTGGGGTGGTTGGCTAGGAGGGAAGGAAGTCCGCCAACGCCTTCCCGCGCTTTTCCCGCGCCTTGGTTATATGGGTGGATGTGCCGCCCTCGCGTGCCAAAAGTCATAGTCACGGTTTGCCGCAAATTAGGGCCCTGGGTTGACACCAAGGGCGAACAGAAGGCAGACCCTGCTGCGGGGACATCGAAGGGCGGGGAGGTCTGTCCTTATGCCACCTCGGTCGGGTGAAGTCGTGAAAAGGGATCTCTCGGGCGGTTCCTGAAGGCAGAAGTAAACCCAGTACTGTATTAACAGTGGGGTTGGAAACCTATCATCGGCCTTCCTCCTGAGATGCCGTCAAGAAAGGGGAAGGAGGGCATTGATTGTCTGCGGGTGGGCGGTGGACATGGTGACATAACAAGGGTCTGTCTGTCTTTCCTTGTCCACCGTGACACCTGTGATTGAAATGCTGAATTCCCGCCCCAGTTTAAGGAATTCTGTCTTCTAGCAAAGAATTAGGAGTGTCCATGGTGAAGACGATAGAAACTAGAAGGGTTGATTCCACCATTATCCATTGCTTTTTGTTTCTTATCGAGCAAACAAGAGCAGGGTTACAACAAGATCCTGCAATTTTTTGGCAGATTTGTAGAGGAGTGATTATTTCCACATGATTTCTAAAAGCACTCCAAAGATTGGGCACGTTGTTCAGTAGCAAAATGTTAGCACTTATGCAACATATTTCAAGTACAACTCGCTTTACAAGAGTTGCTCTCTCAGTAGTCCTCACAAATAGTCATATCAAAGAGCTTATGTTTTCCTGTATTGGCATTGATCACCTCTGCTGGCCAGGATTTCTGGGAGTTGAAGTCCAAGAACATCTGGAGGCCCAAGGTTGGGGACCACTGCTTTACGAGACTTGCTTTCTCAGTAGTCCTCACAAATAGCCATATCAGAGAGCTCAGTGTTTTCCTGTTGTGTATTGGCATTGAGGGACATAATTTACTAACAACCACAGTTAAACGGAGATTTTGTTTGGATCTTGTCCATATGGTAAGGTTGCAGTCCTGTACAAGTGGAGTTCCAGAGTGGTGTGGCGGTTAGAGTGGAGCATTAAGAGTCCTCCCTGAGCCACAATATCCATTGAGTGACCTGGCGCTGAAAGTCTGCAAGAGAAGAGCCAGGTGCACTACCTTGAACTCAGTAGACAAAAGGCATGATATAAAAATATCAGTGAGGTGAATACATAAATACACACCTGGGAGTGAGTATGAATTAAATTCAACAACATTTGCTTCTCAGTATGAATATGTCGTTAATAGTTCCGCAACATATCTTCTATTTTATTTATACATTCGTTGCTTCTCAGTATGAATATGTCGTTAATAGTTCCACAACATATCTTCTAATTTATACATTCTAACTCACTTTTCTCACTTGTAGCTTTCTCGGTTTCTGTTTCATTCTCTCTCACACATGCACCTTCTTTCTAAATGCCCCCTTTTACACCATTTAACCTCTAGTTGGGTAGTGGCTATTAGGCTGTACCAGGGATGGGCAAAGAGTGGTAAAGGTTCCCCTTGACATTTAGTCTAGTCGTGTCCGACTCTAGGGCACAGTGCTCATCCCCGTTTCCAAGCCATAGAGCCAGCATTTGTCCGAAAACAGTTTCCATGGTCATGTGGCCAGCGTGACTAGGCATGGAACACCGTTACCTTCCACCGTGGTAGTACCTATTTATCTACTTGCATTTTGACATGCTTTTGAACTGCTAGGTTGGCAGGAGCTGGGACAAGCAATGGGAGCTTACTCCGTTGCATGGATTCGATCTTATGACTGCTAGTCTTCTGACCTTACAGCACAGAGGCTTCTGCAGTTTAACCCGCAGTGCTACCACGTCAGGTTAAAAACCTTCATTGGAAGATTTTAAAGAGGTTAAATGGCTGCCTGTCAAGGATCCTTTAGCTTTGGGTTTTCTCCTTCCCTTGGGGCTGGACCTAATGACACTTCCAGCTCTGCAATTTTATGATTTTGTGAAGTTTATTTGGCTGCCTGTCAAGGATCCTTTAGCTTTGGATTTTCTGCTTCCCTTGGGGCTGGACTTAATGACACTTCCAGCTCTGCAGTTCTATGATTTTGTGAAGTTTATATAGTTTATTTATTTAAATATTTTTACCCTACCTTTCTCCTAAAAAGAGCCCAAGGCAACTTTTATCATTAAAAAATATTTGGAATCTGAAAACAGTAAGCTATACAAATATTTAAAAAGAATCGATTAAAAATGTTAGATAAAAACTTATTTTACCCTGCCTTTCTCCTTAAAAAGAGCCCATGGCAACTTTTATCATTAAAAATATTTGGAATCTGAAAACAGTAAACTATACAAATATTTAAAAAGAATTGATTAAACATATTAAAATGTTAGATAAAAACGTTACTAAAACAAGTTATTGGACTACAACTCACAGTAGCCCAAGCAAGCATACTCAGTGATGAAGAATACTGAGATTTGCAATAAAGCAATAACTGGAGGGTTTTTGCACACTACTGAGCTACATGATGATACCATTATTATTCATTGGATGTTGCTATTGCGCATGTGATGCAGAATATAATTATATTTTTTATTTATGTACGCCCTGCACTTCAATGTAAAATACTTTCCTAGGGCGGCTTACAAAATCATGGTAAAAGCAAAAGTGAAGTCATCTGCTTAACATCTGTCAGCTTTTCAGGAGACCTTTGCGTTTCAAATCCAGTAAGATGCCATAAAGAGTTCTAAGCAAAGTACAGTATATGTATGTCTGACAAGCTAGTGTGTACAATGTGTCCAGCATTTCAAAAATAAAAACTAAGGCTGAAATATTAAGGAATAAACTCAGCTGAACACAACATAATTTGTTTGAAACTATAAATCACTGGGGGAAGAACAATCATATTTTTGGCTGATAAGCATAGTAGTGGTGCCAGTACTAATAGGACTGATAAAATTAAGTTTTTTAATTGGAATCCTTTATTGCAATGCCGAACATGTCCCACAAATTCCCATTGCTTAGGTTTATTACTTAGTTATAGAAGTAATGTATGTGCCATCTGTAATTTGTGTTGGTTGAATAACATTGCAGATAAGGTGTTTTCTGCTCAGATCATTTGCTTTCATTTAAGAATGGAATGTCACTTGATACTTCCAGCTCTTCTTCAGGATGAAAGTGTGGCTCCCTGACCCACAGTAAATGTTCAATGCCAGGCGAGGCTACCAGATGTTTAGCAACTATCTGTACCTTTTCCTAAGGGAATTCTAGACTACAAAAATGTACCAAGGTAGCATTTAGCAGTAAATAACTTAGTACAAGATGTGGAAAGCCCCAGCTGCCATTTTGGTCTTGTTAACTTTAGACATTTACTACACAATCCACGTAGAGACGTGGTGGCGCTGCAGGTTCCGCCGTGTCATTCTGACCTGT